ATGAAATATTATACCAATTTTGCGTGAATAGATGTGATATCTGATTTGAATCATTTCGGAAGAGTTTAATGTTCGGAAAAGTTTAATACAACACATATTGCAGGAAATAGCATATAATAAAGACAGATCGATTTGCATGCTCATAGCCCTTTGTTTTTGTATTTGAAGTATTCGTACTTAATTTACGAATTATACGATCAAAGCCAGTTTTGTGAAAAAATATCAAAAGTACGAGAAATATAACTGAGAACTTACGGCAAAGTATCGGGATGTCGATTTAAAAAACGCGAGGTTTCCTGCAACTTTTCGATAGCCGGCGAGATGGATAAGGGTGGCAGGGGGGAGATTTGCCGCGCGGTCCGGCGATACCGTGGAGGGTTGTCAACGGAGAGTCTGGCGTCAGCTTGTGTAACTATCGGTAATTAATCAGAATCATCCCCGCATATCGTGTCCGTCGGCGGATGAAGGCGCTCCGCTGTAGTGGTGTCCGCCACGAGGGGTAGTTAACCGGTGACGTCACGCCCATGGCGACATCTGGCCCGGCACTAACCGCGCCGCGCTGTCCGTCCGGCGGACACTGGACACCGAACACTGTCCCGGCACTAACTCCCGGATCCGGATCAAAATTACCCCTGCGGGCCCGGCCACGGTGAGGCCGCACGCCGCGCCGCACCGGCTGGCTCCAATTAATTTCGCATTCGGCACGTTCTGCGATTCTACGTTCGTCGTTTCGGCTTTTCTATAGTCGCGGACCAGTCACGACAACGGGATGTTGGCCGCTTCGTAGCCAAGTTTCGAATTTAATTCGCTCTAAGTAATTCGGAATATCGAGGGTTTCGAAAATTTAAAACAGAAAAACTTGAACAATCAGTGAAACAATATAAATCGTATATTCAGAAACATTAAAATGCGATCGTAATTATCGCTGTGTCGATTGAAATTTTTGCCGATTAATTTTTCGAAGAATAATTTTTTATTAATCGACATCTTTAAAATATATATAAATAAATAAATGTAGCCGCGCGAAATATTAATTTGAATCGCATAAGAATGCAATCGAGCCAACGGTCGCTTTTTGAATAGCTATGACTGCACGACAAATTCAGGAACGTCCCTCCATTCTCGTGGCTATCAATTGCGGCTAATCCTTGCCCGAAGCCGCCGAGAAAGTCTTGTCCAATATACGCATGATTCCAATCGCGAGCTCACAGTGTAAAATCATATCTGACACTCATCCGCGAAAAGGTCACATGCGTCATTATTAGTTATAACTCTACATTTACAGGGATTCGCGTTTGCTCGATGATTGTCGCGGATCGATATCCTCGAGCGACAAGTTTTTCGGTAGGACAATTAAAATTCAGGCAACTCGGTGGTTCGGTCATGTATATTAGATACCCAATTCCAGCGCGGTAATCCAGCTATAAATATCTTTGAATTATATTTTCTACCGGGTTTGGAGGCATCGCGCCACGGACGATTTGTCCTAAAAGGGTGGAGAAGGGACGGAGGAGGACGAGAGTGAACGGCGCCGCGGTGTCTGTTTACCCGTCAATCGTGCGATTAAATTGGATCGCCGGTATTATCTTTTAATCCCGATGCGCCAGGTAGAATGGTATGGCTCTTGAAAAATTGGTATAAAATTTCGGATCGCGCTGTCGGTCGTTGAGTTGTACTCACAATCGGAGACTGAAACAATTGGAAAACGCGGCGATACTTTATTTCGTACTGTAAATTCAAATTCTTTCTTTATATATATTCATCATGCTTATTAAATTATTTTTATAGTTATCAATTATTTTACTTCGATCTGACGATTAAAAATAAGAGACATAGAGAAAATTTATCTTCAAACGAAAACGAGAACATGAAAAAGTCTCATTCTTCAATTAATTGCAAGTCGATTTACGAAATTCGCGCGAAGGTGTATTCTCGGATGCGGCGATACATCGCTCAAAAGCGAAAGGGCAAAAGGAAACGTGCGAAAACGCGCGGGAAGGGAAAAAGATGGAGAGCGGAGAGCCCTTTTACATAATGCGGCGTGTTTCACGCGAGTTACATGGCGACGAGGGAAATAAATGCGCGATGAAGCGGAGAATGAGGGGAACTGCCGAGGTTGATGTGACGTGCAATTTGGCGAGTTGTTAAAAATTGCGGCAACAAAATAATGTAAAAAGCTTATTTATTGAATGATTTGATGTTAAATTATGTAAGCAGAAAATTATACGCCATATTATTTCTAATAAATAAATTTAATAAATAATAATAATAATAATAAATAAATAATACTAAAAATAATAAATGATAGATAATAGTAAATAATAATATCTTTAATAAATAAATTTTAAATCTTTATATTGTGAAACAGCATTTGCTATAAATATGGATATAATTAAAATTTTTGTAAAATATCATTTATTTTTTCAGCTTATTATCAACACTTTAATTAATACTTGGCCATGGATTAGTCTTTCGGAGAGAACACGTTATTTTGCATTAGCGGTTTGCTTACATCGCCCGAAATAGAGCTGTATCTCTTGACAGATCTGATTTATTTATCGTTTCTCGTGGCGGTTTTCGTTATTACGTAATAGAAGTTATTTCTCTCTCCTTCTCTTTCTCACTCGCGAAACCGTGCGATCCAACGGCTAATCCAATCCTATTTACATCGCGGAACTGTCGCGGCAGCATTGACGTGCGCGGAAATAAATCCCGACACGACTAACACGAACGCTCACGCGCGCGCCGCGCCGCGTCGAGGGTACGTGTAAATCCCGGGCTTTCTCTCGGAACAAATCGAATGTCGGTCGATGTAAATGAATTCCGCTCTAATTGCAATTATGCGACACGAATGCGCATAAACGTTCGCGTTATGCGATAAATGACACGTCACTCAGAAGCCACGGCGAGGTGCGGTGTCGCACTCGCTCTCTCTCTTTCTCTCTCTCTCTCTCTCTCTCGCGTCATTGCGAATTTATGAAATGGCGATCGTTATATCCGTATCGGGCCCTCTCGAAACCGTTCGCGTTATAATTGCAATTAATCAATAATTGACGTCATATAATTGGGCGGCCGTCGAGACAACGGAACGTTAAACATTCACATCCAGACGTCTAGTTGAAGACATACCGAAATGATCTTCTAGCTTCTCAATGTTGCATAAGACGCTCGATCTGTGACAGATGTAATGTTCTAAGTTTAGATGCGAAGGACTATTATAATTATATATTTTTCATTCAGCTTACATTTTAGCGTGTGTTTGAGAGCATCATACTGTTACATTCGCGTTAGATTTGACAACGAAAAATGAGCAGTTTTTTATTATGATAAAGAAGATAAAAAATTCTTCATCTCTTTGAGGAATCATGCAATTATATTGAAACTCGAAGTTATACTTTTTTATAAGATATTGACTCTATTATAAAAAAAAAAATTAGCTTTTAATCCATTTAAAAAATATTACGTTTATTTCACGGCTGCAAAATTGTAAGGTACTGTCACGCACACATTATTATATTGAGATTTGTGTCGTTATAAAGAATTGTAATTATTGAGCACATAAATCCTATACAGATTTCTCTGATACGAATCGTCAAATAACTAAAACTCATAATGAAAACATCTTTGAATTTTGATGGAACGTCGACCTCGAAAATCCGAGTCATAATCGATAATACATCACGTCAGGCAGTTTCAACACAAATACCACCCCCGCTGAGAGTGAATGGGTAAAACGGCGAGTACGCCAATCGCAGTAAGCATATCGTGTTAAATACGCGATGGAGATCACCCTTGTCCACCGAATCGAGCAACAATCTCTGACTGACTCGCCGGTTGTTTAGCCGACCCGATTTATTCATCGACCAGCTGTGATTAGACTTTTGCTTTATCGCATATTCGCGGCTTCGTCAAATATCTACAAGCCGTCTGCATTTGTTAAGGTCTGACCAAACATCACGCAAGTATTCGCACCCATTTGAACGTGTCGATAATTTAACTTCGATAGATCGAGCGTTTGCACTTTATCTCCCCTCGTCACCCCGTTCTTTCGAAACATTCTCTTTCTGTTTTTTTGTGATATACATTTCGAATGTTTTCCACCTGTTGCTAAAAAGGAAAACTATTCTATACCACTATTGCGGTCAATATTAATATTTTTTCGTAGATTAATATCGTTATTTCTTAATATTATATAGGAAAACGTTTTCTGCGTTTTATGCTGATAATTTTATCGGCTCGGACAATGCGGATAAGTAAATGGAAGCTTTGGGTAAACATTTCGGATAAGTATACTCTTTTTAGTTTATTTCATAAACCACGCTAAAAAATTGTTTTTTTTTTTCTCAGAATATAATAGCTTCGAGATTTCTCAAGATTTACAACTAGAGGTATCATTTACGAAAAATGTATTGATTTTGTTTTCCTACCTAATGCAATGCATGTTCTGAGAAAAATGATATTAAATATTTTTTCTATTATACAATTACATAATAATTTTCATTTTTTCAATTTATATCTCTTGCATTGTCCTTTTTATAAAATTTTATTCACTCCAAAATCGCTTTATCGAAGCATTTCATACGTATACCGAGGTGTCTGACTTGACGCTGACGTTACTACTTGAGACTTAATCTCCCGCGTTCGCCGCGCGATTTCCCACGCGATGATGAACACTTGAGTGCCGCCATACCATTGCCACGAAAGAGCACGCCCGTTCGCGCGGAAGAAGCCAATTCGCAAGTTGGAAACTCGGACGGGAGAGCAGTTCTCGCGCTCGTTACGAGATTAAGGAAAAAGAGCTTTCGAGCTTTCAGCGGGGCGGGATGGCGACCGAAGTACCCGGTGACCACCCACGAAGACGTGCCCTCTCACGGGGTGTCCTATCGCCGATCCGAGCTTATTCCACCCCTCAAGCTCGGGCCACACCCGCAATCATGCGCAGTTTCCACCCATCGACCAATGGAAAGCACCGGGTGCTTGCAAGCTCGCCGTTCCGGCTCCGGCTTTCGCGACCGTGCCACTCCGACCAAACACCACGTGGCACGCGTTCGAGTTGCACGTGCATTCGCGGAGCTGCGAGAGCCCGGTGCGCGCGCGAAAGCGGGCGCTTGCGAGAGAGCTTACGAGAGAGAGAGAGAGAGGGAGAAGAAGCTCGAAGTAACGCGAAGATATTTTCTCGTCGCCGGAGAACGCGTTTCTCCAAAATCGCTATTACGTTTTCGCGCGAATCTCTTGAATAGCTTCTTTCTCTAACACATACCCTTCCACCCTCTCTACATTGTCATCCCCCCTGCTTTTTCTCACCCTTCTTCTCCGATATTTATCTCTCTCTCTCTTTTTCATTCCCCATTCCCCTCCGACTTCAACGCGTTTTATATAAACGATCGATTGAGTCGTTGTCGTTATATTATATTACTGTGACGTGAAAGATTTAGTCGTGCTTCGAGAAATCTACTGAGATCGAGTCCTCACTGAGAATCAAGAGCTATCGACAAAGACGTTTCAACGTGAGTCACGGACAAGGTTAGAAAATTATTTATTTTATATATTATTTGCAGAATTATATAAATAATTTAAAATCCATATACATTAAAATACATTTCTTTTATAGTCACTTGTATGAAAGTATATTCGTGTGTGTGTCTCCTTCAATTTATATCTTGTGTCTAATCAATGACATGGTCACTGGACATAACTTTCAGTAATAGTTAATGATAATTGAGAATCATACATCTACATCTTTTTGAGATAAAATATTTGTAAGAGTAAACATATAAATAATGGACAAAAGAAATGTATTTACGTAAAATCGGATTTTTTATTCGATAGTGTAAAAATTTCATGCATGATAAAAAGGATGAAAAATACGATGCAAAAGAATATTTCATTAATCTTTCGCGATTAATAAGATATATTATATATATTATTCTACGGTTCTAAAAAATTATTCAGATATATTATATGATATTACATATATTATTCCATTTCTGTTCATATTTATGAAATTATGATAAAATTATAATAATTAAATGAAAATATATCTTAATTCATATTTATAATCTTTTATATTATCTTATGATTAATGTACATCGATGGATATATTGTATTATTAAATATAAAAATTTGTACGAAATGAAACTTAGGAAACTGTTAATTTGCATATAGTACTACGTGAAAATTGGTTTGATATAAGATAGTGCTATAATCTTATAACTAATCTTTTATGGCGCGCTTATATGAAAATATGATATATAAAAAATTTTGGAACATGATACACTACATATAAGAAACTTTGGTGTATAATAGCACTTGGCGTCGGCTAAAAGAGAGCCGATATTCAACAGTTGGTCCTTCTTTTATCTTTGAAACTTAACCCTCGATGCTACCACCCTTCAAATAGACACCCTATGTTCGTATACCCTAAGAGAAGCACTTCTTGAGGGTGTAACATGAAAGTATTTAAAAAAGTTGATGGAATTTTCTGCGCGTAAAACAAGGCGAAAATAAATTTAGAATAATAAAACGAGAGTAAAATAATATGTATATGATATTTAAATCTATACTTTAAACAATTCCAAATTTTTTTTAGTAAAATAGTTATGATTTATAATTATATACATATCTAATAAATTTAGAAAATAGATTGTATGTATAATATGTATTTCAGATGTAATGCGCACCAACTTTTATATAGATTATGGCTTTTCTAGCTAATTTAAACACAATTTTTAATGAATATGCTGAAGCATTAATTATCGCAATTTTTTAATTTTTAACTAAATGTTTTTGCAATTAAAATTTTTAAATTACTCACAAAAGTGTATTAAAATAAAATTTATTCATAATTTAAAGAAATAACATTTTATTATATATTTACTATTTATTTACCCTAAAGCTCAGTTTTCCTGAAAAATCTTTTATTTTTAATCGCATCAACTTAAAAACCATTGTTTTTTTTGATGTGCTTATTAAGAAGATAATTCTAGATTGGCGCCAAGAAATCCATAAAGATAAAATTTTAGTTTGTAGAAAAAATTTCAGACTTGGAACATCCTGTATATAGTACGCTATATATGTATGAGAAAAAGAGAGAGAGAGAGAGAGAGAGAGAGAGAGAAATTTTATGTTTTATAATGCAAAATTACATGTATCATAATATTTTAATTAATTAGAAATTTTGAAATTTATTATCTTACTTCAAAGTATATACGATCACAACATCCAGCGTGACAAACGAGCCAATTTATTCGCAAAACATACCAATCTATCTATTCGACCCTTGCGGACATTCTTTCTTCGCTCGGCCGACAGTGGAGGAATTCGCGGACTCGGTGCAATAGGTGCGGCCATAGATGTAACATATTTATGTTGTGAACCGGCCGAGTGTGAGCAATAAATAGAGGTAGCGTGGGGGAAGTACGAGAGAAAGAGAGAAAGACGAGACGCGTGTGAGGGGGAAAGGGGGGACAGTCCGTTGAAGCGCGCGAGGCCAGAGCGATTACGTTTCCCAAACCCCTCGGTCTCTACGTGCGACCGAGTCACCGGCACCACCATCCACCGCCATTTCGCTCCCTTTAACCCCCCCGAGCCAGCCCCCGCCGCCCGCGTCTCCTCGCCATCTCGTCCCACCGGACCCTTTACGGCGCCCGAACAACCCTATTCGTTTGTTTCCAGCCCGTATGTATACGCGTATACGAAGGTATGCAATTTCGGTGTCGGGTATGCGCGTTACCGGACGAACGAACGATCCGTGTATCGCGTATCCGTCGCGTTCGTAAAACTCTTACAGAAAAATAATGTTGCATCTTTTCGGAAAATCTGAGCATAGTCGGACTTTAAAACTTAAAACGATGATTACCCTATTACATAGTACATTGGATGTCCAGCAAAAATCCAACGACAGTCTTATGTAAATCCTTGCATCATATAGATATCCTTTTATCTATCAAATAAAAGAACAAGTGATAAAAGTTAAATATGACACATCTATTAGATATTTGATTCTATGTGAGTCGATTTCCTTATGTTACTGTCAAGATTTTCAAGAAGTAAAAGTATAGACTAAATATGTTTAGATAAAATAATGTCCTGAAAACCGAGATACGAAACATGCGCCGATACGGTATTCGTATTAACGCCCCGCATTACTCTTGCGCTACTATTACGGTTACCGGCCCGAACAACCCTATTCGTTTGTTTCCAGCCCGTATGTATACGCGTATACGAAGGTATGCAATTTCGGTGTCGGGTATGCGCGTTACCGGACGAACGAACGATCCGTGTATCGCGTATCCGTCGCGTTCGTAAAACTCTTACAGAAAAATAATGTTGCATCTTTTCGGAAAATCTGAGCATAGTCGGACTTTAAAACTTAAAACGATGATTACCCTATTACATAGTACATTGGATGTCCAGCAAAAATCCAACGACAGTCTTATGTAAATCCTTGCATCATATAGATATCCTTTAATAAAAGAAATAAAAGAACAAGTGATAAAAGTTAAATATGACACATCTATTAGATATTTGATTCTATGTGAGTCGATTTCCTTATGTTACTGTCAAGATTTTCAAGAAGTAAAAGTATAGACTAAATGTTTAGATAAAATAATGTCCTGAAAACCGAGATATAAAACATGCGCCGATACGGTATTCGTATTAACGCCCCGCATTACTCTTGCGCTACTATTACGGTTACCGAGCGACGTAATGTTCTCCAATAACGAAGCACACGAGTGCATAATAACGGGCTCGCCGCGCCGACACGCGGACATATCGGAACGCAGACTCATCGGGATCCGAATCCGACATTGCATACTCGCATAGTTATGCTGAAAATCTTGACTGGAGGACCCTTTCGCATACCGGATCGCCCGGAGCCAATCCGATCGAGGATGCATCTGGGTGGCACGCCGATCGGGAGACGCGCTAGTCGGCCAGTCGGGTAACCAAATGATGCATATCTCGCCTCGGTACGTCGCATCCCGGATGTCTCGCACCCGCTGCAGAAGCAGCGAGGGGGTGGGCGAGCATCAGGATCGTCTCTCTATCTTAGGGATGAACGAAGGGGGAGGGGGGAGGGGAGAGAGACCCAGAGCTCGAAAGCCGGGTGGACTTGGGCAGGCCAGCGTATCTCATGGTTGCCGATGAGGTCGAGAGCTTGCGGCCGGATGCCAGTCTGACCATGTCTACCGGCGCGTTACTTGCGAGCTCGTCAGCCTCTCGGCCCTAGACGCATCCTCGTCAGAATCCGAGCAATGCAGCTCAAGAGTCCGCGCCGGCGCTGCAGCTGCACTCTAGGACACGGCTGTCGGCCGCTCCGGCTGCCGAGAATATACCGGGTTATACGATCCTCGACGGGGATTGGCCGGCCGAGTATCATCGAGACGGGGGGGCATCGGGGATGGTCTTCAGCGGCTGCTGGTATGCGTAGTAATAGGGGAAATTTTCGTCGTGTTATCGAAGGAAAATTGCGAACCACCGTAGGGACAGGAATGATGACATGAGAGCATCATTGTTTCCTGATTTTGTACTCTTTTTTTATTCTTAATAATATTTGATATAGAATACAAAAGAGATCATGTATATTTTATCATTTTATTCCAAATGTGAAATTGTATTTAAAATGGAAATGTAAAATGATAAATATAGATTTATGTGGATTTAGAAATGTTATATTTAGCGGTTTAATTTTGGTCAGTGATGTTTAAAAATTCAAAGTACACATTAAATTCGTTGTTGCGGTCATGAAATATACATTACCTACTGTGTATTACATTAATAATTAGGTCGACTTCTGTTTGAGCTTTTAATCGAGTACTGGCAAAACGCGCGCATCGCTCTCGATCGCTCTCGCTCATTGTGACAGAGGCACATTGCGTCGAATGCGGCTTTTGCAAATGAATTTTTCGGGGCACGCCGCCGTTCCGCGTTGATACGTTTGCATCGCGGTGATTTCGCAGGGCACCGAGCTATATAACGCGCGAGGGTAACGAAATTCCCCCGATGCGTGCATCTCACGCATTCCGCAGCGAGATTGCGCAAAAATCGGGCGAAACAAACGCAACTAATTTAACTGCTTTCGAACAATTAATCCGAAGCATTTAATTTAATTGCGCCGCAGCCCGTCGAGTCCGGCCAGCGGCAGTCGAAACAACGACCGACACAAAACCCGGGACGGAATTTTCGACTCGACGCGATGGCTCGAATTCTTTGACGCGTGTAAAACAAAATAAAAACATTTGGCGCAACGGTTGAAAGTTGATTCGGAGAAAGCGCGCAAAATCAGTATTTGGGATTTGATGCGATCTTTTTTTGCAAAAATAATCTCATTTTAATAAACATTCCTTTCTATCGTTCTCTCTTAATGTGTTATCTATCTTAAATAAATTTTACTTTAATTTTTTGGTTTATTTGAATTATTTAGTAATAACATTCATTTTTTTCTATAAAAATTTAATGTTCTTTTTTTTTGCAATTTCTTACTTTCAAACATTATACGTTTTCATCAAGTTAAGTTTATT